ACTACGTTAGCACAGAAGAAAGTAGCGCGTTTTTTCTGCTCATCGTTCACACGTTGCCCAAACTCACATGACCAGGTCGCGCCGCAACCGCACGCATGAGCGCTATATTCATTGCACAGCTTCATGTGAACGTCTGCTTTTTAGCCCAAAGTGAAACGAGTCGCTCCGGTACCCGGACTGTGGAAAGTGGAAGGCGCTGACGAGTTCATAAGTAAGAATAAGCGCCTAGTCAGGTGAGAGTCCCGTGTGAAAATCAGTGAATGGAAATGCACCACGAGTGAGGTGAAGCCGTTCCAGGGAAACACTTCAAGCAGCCGTGACCCATGTGTGGAAAGTCCGACCACATGAGACTGCCACCAAGCGCATAAGGCCACTCAAGACGCTAAATGTGATGAAACCGGAACCAAAGAAGCAAATGGCGCCAGTTGAAGATAAAGACAAAAAGGAGGTTAAGAAGGTAATTAGCACAGAGCCAGAAGAAAAGCAACCGAAGAAGAAGAATGGTCCATCGATGCTTAAGAAATTGGTGGGGTTTTTGAGACGCTATAGATGAATTTGTGTGTCATTATCTAGGGTAGTCCGATACATAGAAGTGTTTATTTAATTCTCTTCTCATTTAAAGAAACTACAAATATATTTATAGTTCTCTGGATTAACAAAGGACGAGAAAGTGGAGGAGAAACCGAAGAAGATAATGGAGGAGAGCAAGAAGGAGAACAAAAAATTGGAGGCTCCCGTTGTGAGGATCGAGAAGAAAACGCCGCCAGCTCCAAAGAAGGATGAGAAGGTCGCTGTCGCGGAGCCCAAAGGAAAGAAGGATGAGAAAATTGCCGTCATGGAGCCGAAGGAGAAGAAGGACGACAAGACTGCCGTCGCGGAACCGAAAGGAGAAGAGAACGGAAGATCAGCGTTCTGACGCAGCGAAGGAGAAGAAGGATGAAAAGATCGCCGTAGGCCGGGCCAAAAGAAAAGAAAGAAGAAAAAGCGAGTGTTCCAGAAGTCCAACAGAAGAAAGAGGTCGAGCTCAAGGGCTTGAAAGTTCTATCCAAAGCAGCAGTACCGAAGGAGGAGAAAATTCAGGTAATGGTCTTGACACATGATTCCGAGTTTTTGACATTATCACCACACGCTTTTCTACGCTGAGCACAGAATACGCAGCCAGTAAAAACACTCTTGAAGCGGTCCACCTTCGGGCATTTGATGCGGTACAGGTCCTTGTCATCTGATTGTACTATACCAACTTCGAATGTAAGCTATCTGACCCAAACTCGGCCGTACCTAGCCATGTCGAGCTTTGAAGTATTGAAAGGGTCTGGAAAGGGTGCTGTCGATCTTCCGTAACGTCAGTTATGAGAGCAAGAGACGGTCCAGGAAATGACTCGAAATACGTGAAATATGTGCGGAAATAAGGGAAATAAGCAGAAATTATTCTAATGAATTCGTTCGAGTCTTGCGGGTGGGTCCAATCGAGAAAGTGACGCATGCATTTGAATTTTCCGCGGTCCAATCGGCGGCGTCACGCCCCCCGTTTGAAAATACGGCGGCAAATTAGCGAGTCCTCTTGTCCGTCTCGCCGGACTCACTTCTCAGTGCACTATCGTTGTTGGCGGAATCCCCAATAGGGGGGTCGTATTTGGTCGCCAGGAGGAGGGGGGTCGTATTTGGGTTGGGAAAAATTTATTTTGTTAGTTGATTTTTCTCGCTTCATGCGACTTTGTAATGGGGAAGGGGGTTAGTTACTTGGTTGTTTTTGGTGGGAGGGGTCGTATTCCGCAGTTTTGGGCGTTGTAGAGTGATGTTGACTTTCGTGAGATTTTCCTGTTTCATGCGTACTACATGCCCCCCCCCCTACCATTCTATAGAAATCGTTCCACAGAAATCATATTCGATTCCTTTTCAGATATCGGCCATTCTTCGATCGCAGGCCCCTCGTATTGATGGAGTGACAGTGATTTTGGTTCAACCCATTTTGTGAGCTTTCTTCATCACATTTTCGGAATAGATGAGATGTATCCGATAAATCCCCATTTATTCAGCGTTTCCTACAAACACCCGCAGAAGATTCGAGAAATAAAACCATTGGTAACGAAATCCGTCAGTCATTCGCTTTTCAAGAAGTCCCTGCAACTTGACAGTCAGAAAACCATCACACAAAAGAAGTAAGCAATTTCACATGGTATGGAATTCGATTTTGCCTATCGATTAAGGGATTACTGTATCCCAAGAGTATTGTAAGCGTGACTCGTTCAAAGGACAACCTCCAGTTATTGTCGTTGCAATCCGACGGGACGGTGGCAGGAGACTAGCCCCGTTGCTGTAGAAAACGTCACGGGTGGGTTTATTCCGCCCCTGGCACTGTCCCATCGGACTGCGACAATATCAATTTTACACGCAAGGGGGAGGCGGTCAACAGAGTGTTGGGGGCGTGGGGCGTTTCAGGGGGCTGGACTTGGCGCAGCGCCAGCCAGTTCTGCATCAGTTTTCTTAGCAGTTCCCACAATTGGTGGAGAACGGGCTGGTGCCGCGCCAAACCCAGCCCCTGGAACGCCGCAGCGAGCGAGACTTTCATTCTGCTTTCCTCGCTTCTTCTTCTGAGGTGGCAGAGAGGAGGGATGCGCCAGTGGTCAAACTGTATCCACCCTAACAATGAGCACAGAATGAGGTTTTCTTGTTCCGAGGCGGACATGTTTCAGGAAGTCGAGGGCGTCGGCGTCGCTGTCGTGCAAGGCAGCTTCTATAGAACAAGCCACTTGCACCAAAGAACTGAGAAGGAAATCAATGCAGTTTGGAGCTCATGTACGTCTCTTTTCTAGCTTTCTTCACTTTTTGATTATTTATCCACCTTTGCGGTATGCTCTTCAAAAAGACCGGAGGGCTAAGTGGACATCCGCAGTTTCTAACATTTTAGGAGGAGAAATGAATACAGGCAATGCCGCGCGTTCCCTAGAGAACTACACGGCTGCTCAGTCACCTAGAATGGCTTGGAGAATTCTATTCAATAGGTGTTGCGCTGCTCCAACTGATGCCTCGGAAGACAAGTTGTTGACTAGACATGACAGTATGTCACCGGTGATGTTTGTTGACCTCTGTAGGATTACTGGAAAATCATAAATGGATGTCAAACAAGGGGATAGGACAGCGATAGCAATTCCTTAGTCGTACAGTACTGGGCATTTATACTAGGTGTGAGCAGGGTTTCCGGCTAGAGCAAGCTGCTAGAGCACTTGTCACGGCTCAGTGCTTCGGACTTAGGCACCTCATACTTGGAATGTTACTGCTACTTCTAACTATAAGATAATTGTGGAATGTTCCCTTACGTAAGATTATGTCAGGTAACTGTTGATCGACCGGTGCCTGATGTGAACATCAGCCGTGTGCGACTGAAGATCAGACGTGCTAAACAACCATTGTAAGTTGGTTTGCTCGATAGCTTTTCCTCAGTTGAGCTACTTTTCAATGCTATAAACTGGAAACACTTCTTTGAAGACCTCCTGCTCCCGTTGAACCTGCTCCTCCTGTGGAGAACGGAACACCTAGAAGAAGTACGAGTGTGGATAGCGAGAGCTCTTATCTTCAGACGGTTCGTCGGGTCATCGAAGTGAGTTGGCTTCTTGGGATTGTTCTTCATTAGCTCTAAAACTAAAATTAAGGCATATGTTCACTAACTATTGAAGGCTAAGGGTGACCAGAGTAATCGTTTGTCGCGGAGTCCGCGACGTGGGGGTCGTATATGACCTGTCGTTAAAGACAATAGGTGCGATTGCTGGAGCGGGCGGTTGTTGCCAGCGTCATTGGTGGAAGGGCTGCGAGAGGGCGTTTGGCCACATCCGACTCAGCCCTTCCACCAATGACGTTGGCGACAACGCCCGCCCCCAGCTATCGTGCTCACTGCCTTCAATGAAGGGAGAGGGCTCGTATGTGCAGGTGGCTCAGTGGCTCTTGAAAAGTGTTGTTATTGGAAAGTAGAAACCTCCAAGTTATCGAATCCGTGAGATCTTTACTCCACGTCACGCCTGAACGAAGTTGTGTTCATTGAAAGGTCGAAAACTCGCTTTGGCAAAAACATTTTCGCGATATTTTGAACCATGGCAAGCTAAGCTCATTTGAAAATGGCCTAAAAATGATTACTCGACTCGTGGAATTTTCCGGATTGAGAAAAACTGAATCTCCTAGTAGTGGCAGCAGACATGACCACAGTGGGACATAACGAAATATTCGGCACTATTTACCCTTTACTACCCCAACCATCCAGAATTGAGCCAGTCCTTGACCGACTTCTTTATCCACTTACGGATTTCGCCTAATGTTTCTCCTAAGTAGTTTGACCCCCTGAATGCGAATATCACATTCACTTGGCCCGAAACTTCCTGGCGCCCTCGCCACAGGCGCTTGTGCTTTCGGTTATTTTGGCGACAACGGTGTAGCGCAGCAATGCTATTAAGGTTTCGAGGCCAAGCAAATGTGATATGTGTGTTCAAGGACTAGAGACTACTTTGAGAGCAAGCTTTCAGCAAATTTGATGATTTAGGGTTCTTTGTCCCGGCGGCCTTGTGGCAGGCCCAAGAGCGTTTGTGCCAAGCGGTGATATGCGTATCAGATGGTCCAAATCCCGTGAACCAAGATTCAGCTAATTCTGGCCCATCGCAGAAAAAAGTCGGCAAAACTCTAATAGGCACAACCACTCGGCATGCTTAGCCTAGCTAGGTATGGGGCAGTATACCTACCATATATCCTGGACTTCGGGTGTATGGCTTCGCCCTGGTGGCGCAAAGGATAGCGCACTCGACCTAAAAGCCTGAGTAACTGGTTCGAGTCCCGTCTAGGGCGACCTTTTTGCCTTTATCTCAGCACGACTTGTATTCTTTATATCTAAGTGATCAAGTATGGTAAGATAGTCTATCGTTTGAGCCTTCATCCGGTGTAAATGTTGCAAGTTGTATTTGAAGCTCTTTCACTTGGTTTCACTGATACAGTGCAGAGGATGTGGAGAGAAATATGTCGGGAGACCGCACGACCGTTGAAGAATCGTCTAGACGAGCACAGAAGAGCGCTGACCAACCCCGCTGCTTACCCACGAAGCAGTTTCTCGCGGCACCGTACACTTAGGCACGCGGATGATAACGCTCCGTCCTTCGACGTGAGTGTACTGCACAGACACTTGGTACGGCCGCTGGAAAGGAAGATAATGGAAGCGCGGGAGATACATCGCTTAAAGCCAGAAATTAATGCAAAAGAGGAGCTACGTGACCTCTTGAGGCTCATCGCCTAATCATCAGACCCCACCCATGTGCCTCAATGTTATGTCAGCGCGGGTCATTTTATGTCCCTGTGTCCCCACTGATAGGTCCGTCCCTTCATCTTGTATGTTAAAAACCTCTCTTGTATTCTTTGCAGTCTGTTATAATGTTCAGGGCACTGTTAATTTAAGGCCTGACGAAGGCATTTAAGTGCTGCCGAAGCTGCCAATAAACGTTAACCAAGTGAAAGAGCTTCAAATACACGCTTGCAACATCTAAACATCAGTTTGTTGATGAATCTGGCTGGAATCTGAGTAACATTCGCAAAGCTTCGGCGAAGTTCAGATCATAGTCAAAAGTGCTACGAGTCTCATCGAAGTCGCATCTTTGATCCCTTAGGAGCGAATTAGCGGAGATAATGGAACAAAAATCAATTTTTATACCTTACCTCTTATTTTTCTTCGAATTTTTGGCTCACTCCATGCGTAATTGTCCGCCCAAATGCCTTGAATACATATGGAAATCCCTAAATTATTACTGGGCCTATCATTACACCACGAGCTTGTAGTACAAGTGTCCTTCGCCTTATGACAGCCGCGACAACTGTTCCTCGATGTGGTCAGAGAGTCGCGTTTTGTCGTTGTGCCGACGACATTTGTGTAAAATTGCATGGAATGTGTCACAACGGCAAGTGTTCATAGTGCATTCTGCAAGTGATGGATTGATTGCGGGGGTTTTTTTGATTGTTGGAATGGCACAAGAAAGGCGTATCCTCTGAAGTTAGAATTGTGAAATGCTCGAACTTCTCGAATAATCGGTCTCACGCTGATGGGGGAAAATCGTTCCTATTAGAGCTATGTAGCTTTTCCTTAAGGAATTCATTCGTGTTAAAGAAGTAAGCATCGGTGAGGTCAGTCTGCTTGCCCATCTCGAGTTGTAAGACTTTAGAGGAAGAGTTCACGTTAACCATGGGGCGGAGCCGGTCCCTGTGGGGGGGACATTGGATTCACGTCATAACGACGCGCACGAGCCAGCTAACCGTTCCTAGCTAGTAAATCGGTAACCAGCTGCCCAACGGTGGTATGTCCGTCATGAATCAATTAGGCCCTTGTGCGAGTGCAAAAAAAATGCCAAGCTTTGAATGCGGTCGCGTCGCCGCCGGTAGATCTTCCAACCGCCACCATTCTGAACCATTGAAAGGAACCTTCCTCGAGACACAGTGATATACCAGGTCCACCTATACGATCGAACTGTTTCTTTGATGCTTATAAGAGTTCTATTTCTGGAACTTACCGGCACGTTTTCATTGTTAAAATTTATTTTCTATGGATTTTTCGTTCCATAAAATGATCCGCTTCCAGGCCTCGCCAATGTCTACTTCGCAAACGAGAGCAGCTGAAGTTTTGGATGATATGCGAGGTACAGAACCAGCACACGTCATTAGGCGGCCCAGCAGACAGGTACTGTGTTCTGTGCTATAATGTATCCGTTGCTTAAAGACAGCCGTCGCGCTCAAGTAGTACATGGTCGTCCTTCCAAGTAGTACAGCCCCAAGCTAGAGACTATCCCACTCTCGCGACTCCACAGCGAGCGAGGAGCGAGCTACAGCCGCTGAAAGTTCTAGTTCTAACGCCCGCTCAGTTGGACCGCCCACTTGCTAGACTCCGACGAGGGCAGCTTTCTTTGTTGGGGCGGGCTATTAATGGAATAGGAATGTCCTTTCACTGCCAGCAGCGCTCATGCCCATGAATGATTCTGCTCTCCTTTATTACATTTTATTAATCAGGAGCACATACAGTCAACTCCAACACATCTCGCAAGATAAAACGCGTAAAAATCACGAGCGACCCAATTTTTGTGGCGCAAAAGTTCGACGCACTTCACTACACTAAAATATGCA